TAATATAGCTGTTCTATAATAGGCTTAAGGAGGATATTAAAGACAAGTTATATAAAGAGGACTAGCCTCTAGCTTTCGACGAGTATATCGCTAAAGCTGTCTATATCGATAACTGTCTCTATACTAGGAAGCAGTAAAAGAAGGGACAATAGAAGCTAATCGTTAGAGGAAATTATACTAATAAAGGAAAGAAGCGATATAGGAATATATCCTATAGTACCTGACCTAGACCTATAGAGGTTAATATAGTCTAGACCAAATAGACAGATAGGTAGCCTTATGATAAGTCTAACGTTACTTATTACAACTATAGGAAGAAGGGCTATTATAAATATAAGTATAGAAGCCTATAGAAGCAAGGATAATAGTCCCTAGTACTAGGATATAAAGCTACTATTATTAAAAAGGGTATTAAGTTTAAGGAAGTCGCCGCTAGTAGCATTGACTAGGATAATATCGACTATACTTACTACCAGGAGATACTCTATAGAGACTACGACAATAAAGAAAGATTCAGGTTCAGGAGGGAGGAAGAGGAGTTCTTAGACGTCTCAGAAAAGTATAAGGAAGAACCTATAAGGCCTATTAGCAACGACGACGAGCGCCTTAGGACCGATAAGCTTAGAGAAGCAAGACCTTACTTTATAGGGACTAATACCCCTGATATTAGAGGATAGTCCCTTATATAGGACTTATAGGGATAATAGAGTACTATAAAGGAAGGTAAGACACCTAGGCTTAATACTTAGTACCTTAGTAAAAAGATACTTAAATCCTATAATAAGATCTATAAGCTCCGTCGGTTAATTAGGATATTAAAGAACGAGGTTATCGGCTTATAGAGACGAGTTTAAGAAGGAGCCTATAAGTAACGATAGCTCTTAGACTATAATAGGTTCTAGGAGGAAGAATTAGACTAGAGGCGGTATAGAAACCGAAAGCTCTAGTAGACTAATAAATAGCTTATAGGACAAAGGTAACCTATACTATAGATAGTCGAATAGCTGAAAGAATACTGAACTATCGATACTATTAGCCAGGGAGTAGATAGAAGTACCTTATAATACTAAAGGGACTTAGGAAATAACTTTAGGCCTTCTAAAGGGCCTATTGACTACTAAGCTCGGAAACTAAACAATAGGTTATATAGTATAGGTAGAACTAATATAAAAGAAGACCTTATAACAACCTCCTAGCTAGCCTAGTAGAGGTAGCTACTGTTTAAAACTAGAGTTAGGACAATTGACTTTAGGTTACTATCAAGTAGAATCAGCTATAGGCCCTGACGTTAGTAGACAGTAGGTCTTAAATAGACCTTATCAGTCCTACCTTAGTCAACAGGTATAGAATCCCCTAGAGGATAAAGAAAGAACCTTACCTAGTATAAGGACTATTCCCGACCTAGATAGTCAGAAGAAAAATCGAACCTCTTAACATTAAGGTAGAAGGGAAAACTACGAAGGTAGTATTTAACATTATAGATATAGGAACTACTAAGGATATAATTTTAGGGTTACCCTAGTATAAGGATTATAACCTAGATATTAGTTAGAAGGATAGTAGCTATCTATAACTATATAAACTATAGAAGTATCTAACTAATATAATAGGAAGTATAGAATAGGAGCTATAATAGGGTAAAGTATAAGAAAATATAACCCCTATAGGCCTACTATAAGAAATAGTTAGTAGAAGGAAGTAGGCTTTAGATTCTAGGAAATATAGTCTATAATAATAAAAGAAGATATAAGCCAACTAGGAAGTCGCTATTATCTTAGTCAATAAAAAAGGGAAGCTTATAATCGAGTAATAGGTTAGCCTAGTTAAGGTAGTAAATATTGAGTATAGAGGAAGGAGAATTAATAAGCTTAAGGTCGTAAGCGTCGAACTAGGGAATAGTAAGTTTACCTACTATAGAGGAACTATAAAGACTACTATAACCAGTAAAGTTCCCTAGGAGTATAAAGGATACCTAGTATTTTAGGCCAAGTACCTTAAGGGACTCCTAGAATATAGACCCTAGGATTATAAGATTAAACTTAAAGAGGGAATATAGTTGAAGTTCTTTAAAATCTACTATACTAACGAGAAATAAGACGCTGAGTTAAAGAAGTATTTAGACAATAACTTAAAGATTAGATATATCTAGCTATTGACCTTACCTACTAGATACCCTATATTATTCGTTCCTAAGAAAGATAGGAAACTTAGGATATATATAGACTACTAATAGCTAAATAGTAAGACGATCAAGAACTAGTATCCTCTACTACTAATCTTAAGGCTTTAAGATCAGTTGTCTAAAGTATAGTACTTTACTTACCTCAACCTACTAATAGTATATACCTATATTTATATTAAGGAAGGGGATAAGTAGAAGATAGCTTTTTAAATACCCTATAGGTATTTTAAGTACCTAGTAATACTATTTAAGCTTACTAATATACTAGTAATATTCTAAGCTATAATCAACTATACTATTTAACCCTATCTCGATAAGCTTATAATATATTACTTAGATAATATCCTTATCTACTCTAAGATACTCGAGGAATATTAATAATATATATAATAAGTGCTTAATATACTATACTAGTACTAGATATTAGTCAATAAGGAAAAGAGCGAATTTCACATCTAAAAGATAGTCTTCTTAGGGTATAAAATCTCGCTAGGAAAGGTTAAAATCAAACCCTAGAAGATCCAGGCAATTATAGAGTAGCTAACGCCTACTAGTACTACTAAGGTTTGAGGATTTATCGGATTTATAAACTTTATTTGGATGTTTATCTAAAAGTTTAGTAACATTATATAACCACTATATAAGCTTACTAAGAAGGGAGTAGAGTTCAAGTAGGGAGATACCTAGGAATAGGTGTTCCAGAAGATCTAATAAAGTATCTTAGTAGACCTAGTACTCTTATTACTAAACCCTAACCTACCTTTTAAGGTAGAAGCTAATGTATTAAACTTTATAATCGGAGGACAACTAGGGTAGAGGGACGAGAATAGGAAGCTATACCCTATAACGTTCTTTTTAAAGAAGCTAGATAAGCCCTATTTTAACTACCCTATCTATAATAAAGAGCTACTTACTATTATTAAAGCATTTTAGAAGTAGAGACCTTACCTTAGTAGAACTACTTATCTAGTATAGGTCTATATTAACTATAAGAACCTTAAGTACTTTATAATGATTAAAGTTTTAAATGGATAATAAACTAGATAGGTAGAGTTCTTATTAGAGTTTAACTTTATGATCAACTATAAGAAGGATATAGAAAATATATAAGTAGATACCCTAAGTAGAAAGACTAATCACTAAAGTAATATACTAGAAAACTTACTAGTACTACTATAGTAATAGATAGATAGTACCCTTTACTATACCTTATAATAGGTTAAAGACTATAAGATAGTAGCCGTTCACCAATAGATAGAGGAGGAGAAAACGCCTTTATAACCGTTTATAGAATATTATATAGTTTTCAGGGAAGAAAGAGGAGGATAGGATTTCTAAAGAACCATTGCTAGCGGGGAATAGGCCGACTAGGAGATAGACCTAGAAGCAAGTACCCCTAGCCTATAACTGGATAGGATAAGACTCTAGTATTATAATAAGGCCTATATCAAGACCTAGGATTAAAAGGACCTTGTACTCGAGGTCTATCAGTCGAAACTTAGGGGATATATAGGAATTATAAAAATATTAGCTAAGCTTAAATAACATTATAATTTCCTATACCTTAAGGAAAAGGTTAAAGAGGTTATTAACGAGTATAACCTCTATAGATAGAGTAAACTAGGACAATATAAGCCTTATAGGCTACTATAGCCCTTATCTATTGCCGAATGACTATAGAGTTTAGTTACTATAGACTTTATTACTAAGTTACCAGAATCTAAGGACATTATAATATAGGTAATATATAATAGTATCCTTACTATAGTAGATAGGCTTACTAAATAGATCTACTTCCTACCCTATAAAGAGACCTAGATAGTAGAATAACTTATAGATACTCTCTATAGGTATATTACCTCGATTTATATATAGCTAAAGGAGTAGATAATAGACTAAGATACTAAGTTCGCTTTAAAATTCTAGTAAGCTCTAATAATAAGGCTTAATATAAAAAGTAAGCTCTTAATAATATACTATATATAAATAGATAGATAGATAGAACAATTTAACCAAGTAGTCAAACAATACCTCTAACTCTATATTAACTTCTAATAGGATAACTAGATCGAGCTATTACCTATTATATAACTTACTTATAATACTACCAAAATAGAGACTATAAAGGTTATACTATATTTTATAAACTTCAATTATAAACCAGACCTATAATAGGGACCTAACGTTAAGGTACCCTAGGCTACTATTAAAGTAGATAAAATAAGCTCGCTCTATATAATATTTAAGGAGGAGCTTAAGTTTATAAGGGCTAGGATAAAGAAGTTCTATAATAAGAAAAGGCTTAAAGGACCTCGCCTAGGAAGGGGGGATAAGGTCTACCTTAGTTTATAGAATCTTAAAACTAAACGACCTAGTAGGAAATTGGATTTCAGGAAAATCGGACCGTTCAAAATTAATAAGAGGATTTCGAAGAACAATTATACCCTTACCTTACTATTAACTATAAAGTTATAAATAAACGTTTTTTACATTATACTACTAGAACCTATATTAAAGAACTTAAGGCCTAATAAAGATATTAAAGTAGAGGACAAAGAAGAAGAATAGAATATAGAGGAAATCCTTAACTTAAGGATTATAAAGGGGCAACTCGAATATTTGGTTAAATAGTTGGACTTTGGACCTAAGGATAACTTATAGTAACTAGTAGAAAACTTGATCAATTGTCTAGAGAAGCTATAGGATTTCTACCACTAGTACCCTGATTACCCTATATAACTAGAAAAGACTAGTCGAAACTACCATTGTCGAAGGAGGAGCTAGGGAATAATAGTCAGTAAAAAAAAAAAACAATATATAGTTATAGTAGGAATTGAACCTACAACCTTATATAGATGGGTTGCTATATCTAGTAATAAGTGTAAAAACCTATAAAGTTTATATATACTATTACTATATTATATAACTATTTCATTTATTGAAAAAAGGAAAAGGACACTTACTTAAGGAGGGAAGGGTTAAGGACAGCTATTGAGGAAGGAACAGTCAAGGTATATAGGGAGCTAGTATAAGAGGTCTCTAGTATAGTAGATACCTCTACCTCCTCCTGCTCTAACCGTTCTAACTCCTCTACTAAATCAATACCCTATAAAACGATACGCGCCATTTTCTCAAACTATATCCTCTTCTACTTATATAGATGGGCAATTTTAGCGTTTAAGGTAGTACATTCTACCTTAGCCTCCTCTATCTCGGCCTTTAGAGAATTGTACTAAGTAGTAATTCGTCAAAGTTACTGAGGAGACAAACCTTAGGTATTGTAGTTAGATTAGTTGTTTTAGATATAGAAGGTATAATGTCTAGAGCTATTAGGTAAGACCTTATACTCGGTATAACTACGTTTTTTATAGTATAAGTAGACGTTCTTTATCGTAAAAGGTAAGCAGGTAAGGGTCTCTAGAAGTATATTACATTATATAGTTTTAGAATAGGGAATTCTCGATTTCAATTTCTTTATATAGCTCAACATTATATCAGCAATTAGATAATGTAGAAAGGGAAAGGAGCTATACTTATAAGTATAGGCTATAGGTAGTATTTAAAGTAAAGACCTAGGTTCTTTTAGGTCGAAAGAGCTTAAAGGGGGGTATTATATTATAAGCTAAACTATAGGAGGTAGGCTATAGTATATATAGGTAGGGTATAGGATATACTACTAACCAATCATTTATATAACTAATTAGAGGAGACTCAATAGGATCTCTTTAAGATCTATAAGAGCTAATACCAGGATCGATAAAAGAAGGCCAAGAGCTAATAAGACTTAACGGGATCTCGGTAAGAGCTATAAGATCTAGGTATAAAGGAACTTTAGGACAAAGGAATCATTAAGTATATAGATAACTAGCTAGTCACTTGTTAAGGGAGTCTAGGACTTCCTTAGTAAGCAATACAACTTGTTCGCTATCAATTGCTACGGACATTGAGACTAGATCATTATCTTGTTGTAAACCTTTTGGCTTTACTGAATTACAACCCTTACTAATACCTTCAGTGAACCCTTTTAGAGTGTGGTTGACACGATTCGTCATACAACCCTTACAACATACCTTCAGTGAACCCTTTCAGAGTATGGTTGAGAGACGATCCGTCATATAAGGGTTAGCTTAAATTAATATATAGCCTAGCTAGTAAGTCTTAAAGCTATATAATAGACTTTAATACCTTTATTAAAGAACTAAATATTATAATATTTAATATAAAAGGTTAATTCTATAAGGAAGTATATAAAATCCTCTTTTCTTCTATTAAACCTTTTAAAGGCTTTAATCTTAAGTTTAGCCCTTTAGATATTATTAAATTTAATCTTATACTTTAAAAGTAAGTCTTTCTAGATCTTAAACTCCTTTTTAAGATTTTAGATCTTCTTCTAAAGTTTTATAAAAATAACTATAGAATTAATATTAATTATAATAATTTCTTTAAGGTTATTTATAGTTATTAAATACCTTTATTTAAATTATAATAGAAATAAAAGGAGTAAATAATATATAATAGATTATCTTTTAACTATATTTTAAAAAGGTTTACTAAAGGTATATTAAAAGAGCTATAATCTAATAAAGTTAAAAGGTTTATAATAAGATAATAATCTAATCTTAATATTTACTAGTCTAAATAATTATAGTAAATAAATTATATTATTTATTAAAGAAATCCTAGACTCCTTTAATAAATAACTAACTAATTATCTATATACTTAACTACTTCTTTATCCTCAAGTTCTTTATTCTTAGATCTTATAGCTTTTATTAAGATCCTATTAAGCCTATTAGCTTTTAGCCTTTCTTTATTAATCCTGGTATTAGCTCTTATAGATCTTAAAGAGATCCTATCGAGCCTCTCCCGATTGGTTATATAAGTGATTAGTTGGTAGTACGTCCTGTGCCCCGCCTGTATGTGCCACGGGCTGCCTTCTGTAGCCTAGCTTGTGACAACTTCTGAGGCTAATAAGCTCGGTATAGTTCTATACCCTGAGCTCCCTGACACTATAACTTGGGCGGGTACTTCTAGAGAATATGGGTGGGACCTCTCCGCCTAGTCTATATCACCAATCTCTTATAGTGGGGAATACCTAGAACCTGGTAACGTACTTTCTATAGTAGAAGAAGACTTTAGGCTATAGGAGTAGTAACCGATAGGCTTAGAGAAGAACCTAGAGTATCTAAACGAGCAACTTACGGGGATAGAATGGGAGAATATAAGACTGCCTCTCCTACCCTATAGGGTTCATAATACTGAGTATAGTCCTATACCACAAGCCGTATATCTCTAAGTAATATCGACATTAATGGAATCATAGCTAGAAACCTACTATGCAGGTCTTCTTGACCATGCTCTGCGAGAATACAATGTATTAAGGGGCGCCCTTCCAGAACCCCTAGGTATAGAGATGGAAGATGGTACTAGCATTCCCGACGATATGGACTACCCTGTTGAGCGTCTGCTCGAGAAACGGGGCAACATGTTCTATCTCTAGTGGAAAGACGGCACACACTCATGGCAGCATCTGTAACGGGCTAGGCCCTGTTGACGGCCTCGGAGGCACTCGGCCAGCACATAACTGTCCAAGCTCAACAACCCGACGCCCGACGTCATACTGAGCGTATGCTGGCTCTGGAGGAGGGCCATCGCCCCGACCATATAGAGGTACCACGGGCAGACTGTTCTTTTCCTTTCTCTTCTTTTCCTTCCTTAAGTTTAGGATGCTTGTAGAGTCGTCACCAGCTAGTTGCAATACACTCGTTAGGACCGTTACAGCATCAACGCAATGTGTCCGACGACCTTATCGACCCATTCGAGGCTGAGTGGGAAGGGTACCACTTGGGTGTCATTGTGCTGTACAAGAAGCCGACAGGTAGGGCGCCGTTCCGCCTCCGATTCAAAGATTCGCCATAGGAGAACGCAACAATCTGGGCTACCGATAGGGAGTTGAACCCAGAGCTCAGAGCACAGTGGCCGAGTAAACCAAGGCAGCGAGGCCGCAGATCGGCTCATTAATTAGATTCTTGTCATTCTGAAGAGCTTGAAGGGCCAAGATTATCCGGGCCTCTTTTGAAGTGGAGGGCATGTTGGATGGTAGAGGAGATTTGTTGTTGAGTGTAAAGGTGTCGCGTCGCGTAGAAAGTGAGCCACTCGGTGGTATGGGCCACTCGCTGATAAGATACGTTACGGGCGCAAGCACAGTACTTGGGAACCTGTTGCACATTTTGAGAACTGTCCTGAGGTGCTGGAAGAATTCCACCAGAGGATGGGAAGGTGCGGGTAGGGGTGATGTACACTCCAGTCACCGAGAGCAAGCCATCCGCAATAGCAGACCAACGGTGGAGTCAATTTTCTTCATCTCTATGTTCCTCCTTTGATTACTCCGTAGGTGGTGATAAACCTCTTTCATCAGTGATATACATCCTTGTCCGTCTTCCTTCCTCCATCCCTTCCGCCGTCATCCATCAATGTGTACCTCGTTGCCGCCTTTCCCTTGCGGTTCTTTCGGCCTAGCATTGCATCGCGGCATACTCCTCTTTTAAAATAAAGTGACGACAACGACCCAACGAGTAGCCTAGAACAACCTCACCTTTTCGCTCCGGACGACAGAGGAGAGAGTGTGGCGAGCACCGGCGGACGACGAGAGCACCGGCGAGCTTGAATCGGCGGATGCCAAACTCGATCCAGCTGGTGCCGAGCCACGCCTTCAACCCCGCAGCCCACACATGGGATTCAGCCACAGCGCGGCAGGGGCCGGCCTCCGGGGAGCAGGAACAGGCCAACACTTGCTCGGCTGGAACCAGAGGCGGCAGTCCAAAGGGAAATCGTTGTGTCTGTACCGTCTCTTGGGGAAAGACGCAGCAGGGGCCGGCCTCGCGGGAGCAAGAACAAGTCAACACTTGCTCGGTTGGAAACACAGGCGGCAGTCCAAAGGGAAATCTTTGTGTCTGTACCGACTCGTGGGGGAATAAGCGGCAGCCGAAATGCAGCACTTGGGGCAGGAAAGGCAGCAGGCGTACTTGCCAGTGGCCCTCGGGTTCAACCGAGCGTTCGGAGACGGAGATCTCAGTGGGAACTCATGCTGAGCAACAGTGATGAAGAGGTCTTGGGTAGTACGAGACCTGCTCGGCGGAGAGGGCATGTATAATATTACTAGCGAGTCAATTGTCGTGAAAACCCGACACCCATCACTTTGAAGACAGTCTCTCCGTGTCAGGGTCCCCACTGCAGCGATCAACCCTGTCAATGAAGGCTGCAGCGGTGGCGAAGAGCTGCCGCATCACTGTATTTTAGCTCAGATTAGGACCCTGGATCCGAACAGAAGCTTTTGATCCCTAAGGATTAGCCTTTGCAGTGGAGAATCGCTTGCGCATCCCTCCTAATGCGATTCTGGTCTATCATCCTTGACAACGTTGTTGTTTTAGCAGTCGGCACTGAGGCTCAGGGACAGGAATGGTTGGTGTTAGTGAATTGGCCTTCACTGTTTTTGGTGGGGATATCCTGACAGCTGCCGGAAATTTTGGGCCAATAGGAGCTTCCAAATTGCCATGCCCGGAGAGTGCCATGCCCGTGTATCAACTCTGCCATGCCCGTCTATCAATTGCCTATTGTAAATAGCACTGTGTAAGTGGCTTGCTGGACCGGAAGTTAAGGGCGGAATATCGTAGGGCGAGGCAACTGAATCTAGAAGGGTTTTGATAAGAGAGAGTAATCATATAGTTACTTCTTATCAGCGCGCATGTAAGGGAGAGCGCTCATTCAGGGCAATAAAGCAGCATCGCGTCAGTTGGTATATTCCCTCTCTTTTATTCTTCCTCGGAATTGAACTTCCAGCAACCGGTAACCGTTATATTCATCCCTGAATTAACAAACCACAAGCAGAAGCAATCACTTAGGAATAATTAACAAGCAAAGCCAGCAAA